GCGCGAAAAGTGCCTGGGCGAGCTTCCATAGCTGTGTTGCCGTTCCTGCAACTGACGGAGCTCAATGTCGTGCTGGTCAAACCGAACAGCCTGGGGCCGAAGCAAGCCCACCACCGTGTCGCGCATGTCATTGTGAGCAGTGCCCATGACTAAGCTGACCTCAGTGCGGACGCCGGCCATCTGCTGCGCGGAGGCGGGGTTTACAGCTGCCTCGATCGCGTCGGCAGACAGAAAGCCAGAAAAAGGGCTAGGAGCGGCAACGCCTGCGGCGGCAGCCGACCCGTTGCCCCACGGATCGCCACGACTTTGGAGAGGGTCGTGGGCAGGCCGCCCAGCGCCAGCAACGTGGTGTGGGGGCTGGGCGGTGGCCTGCGCGCCCCGAGCGCCAGCAGCAGGGTGTGGGGACTGGGCCGCGGCCTGCACGCTCCGAGCGCCAGCAGCGGGATGTGGGGACTGGGCTGCGGCCTGTGCGTCCCCTACTTCGTCGTCGGGGAACATCGGGGCGAGCTCGATCTCGTGAGCCAGACGTGTTGCTTCAGCTGCGCTCAGAGCAGGACGTGCAAGCGCAGCGCCAGGACCACGGTGGCCGCCAGGAGCAGCAGAAGGAACACTCGCACCTCGGCGATCAGCGGGCTCTGTAGAATCGCTAGAATGCCTCGAGCTCCGACCACTAAAATGTGAAGAGGAACGTTGGCGCTCACGACGACGGAGGAGGAAGAGGAGGAGGAGGAAGGAGGAGACGAGCGGGGAAAAATATCATCATGATGAGGAGGAGGATGTTGAGGAGGGGGATGACGGTGAGGAGGGGGATGAGGGTCGGGGCAGAAGCAAAACAGTTTAAGCCGACAGGGTTCAAGTAAACCCTAGGAGGCTAGGGTGTCACCATCCATTATCATTCTCCTCCCCGTCTTCCTCATCTTCCTGTTTCTTTTTCTCCTCCGTCTCTCTGGCTCTCTGTCTCTCCCGTTTTATATATATATATCTCTCTCTCTCTCTCTCTCTCTCTCTCCCCTCCCTATAAGTCCCCTCCCCCCGTTCTCCTCCTCCTCCTCCTCCTCCTCATCTTGTTTCCTCATCTTCCCTTCATCCTCTCCCCCCCTTCTCCGACCTCCTCCACCTCTTGCTTCTTCCCGCGCTTCTCCTCGTCGTGCTGTCCTCCTCCTCCTCCTGATCCCTCCTCCTTCTCCTGGGAGGGAGGGGGGTAATGGAGAAGGCGGGAGGAGTGAGGCAGAGGAAGGAAGGAGGAAGGAATGAGGGATGAATGAAGAGGAGGGAGGAAACAGGGTGAAGGGTGCCAGAGGGAGGAGCATGAATATGACGATGCTAATGATAATGAATATGGTAATGATGATGGTGATGCTGATGGTGCTGATGATGATGATGTTGATGAGGATGATGTTGGTGATGCTGCTGCTGATGATGGTGATGCTGCTACTGGTGATGCTGTTGGTACAGATGATGGTGATGAGGAAGATGCTGATGATGATGCTGCTACTGGTAATGATGACGCTGGTAATGCGATGATGAAGATGAGGATGACGATGAGGATGATGATGACGGTGCCGATGATGCTGAGGATGGCTATGATGATGACGACGGCGATTATGATGAATATGATAATGCTGATGCTTGATGATGCTGACGATGTTAATGCTGATGATGCTGATGATGATGGTGATGATGAGGAGGAGGAGGAGCATGAGGAGGAGGATGATGAGGAACGTTTTAGTTCAAGGGTAACTAATTTGAGCTTCTTGTGGGCGCAGTGCTCCATGTGACTCACGGGCGAGAGTTCGGGGATGCTTCATGTGATTTGACGAGCTGATGCGTGTGTCCAAGGGGTTCTAAGAAAAAGGAGGGGGAACGGACAGGGAATCGCCATACGAAGAGGAGAGCGAGGCTGAGGACGAGGAGGAGCAGCGGGCAGGGTAGCGCGTGGGCAAGCTCTCCCTCCTCGGGAAAAGCCTGTTCAGGCCCGAGATGGGCACGCGTGGTAACCTCTGTAGGGCGTTCTGTTGCGTGCGGCGTCGTTTCGGGTCATGTGCGCGCACACCTACCACGTCTACGGAATTCCAACAGGTTGTTCCTCAATCCGTGTGCCCCAGAACTCTCGGCGCTTCCCCTGGGCCAACTTCACCAAGTTGCTTTTTACGATCCTTGGGTTTGAAACTGGCCCTGGCATGCCGAACCTGAGGGTAGACGCAGGGATCGAACTGTTCGGTGCAGAGATTACCACTTGTGCAGCTGTTTCTGGTTCTTTCTTGTGTGTATGTGTGAGTGTCTGAGCGTTGGCGACTCTGGGCGCACATGAACCTGAGCGTGAGCGAGTCCGAGTGCGAGTGCTGTTTTGCGCTGCTCGCCTTATGCTACCCTCTGTCGCCATTTGATGCGCTGTGCCGCTCTGTGCGGTTCTTCGGCGCTTTGCGCTGCTCTCGCTGCTCTCCGATGCCACTGTTTGATTGTCTGGCAAGGCGCGCGCACGCGGGCAAGCATCCCAGCGCACAGCCAGGCACACATTCGCGACAACATGTAGGCAGTGGGGCGGTTAGTACGGTGACGGAGGCCTGTGAAACGGTGACAATGGGGCTCTGAACAGACAAGCGGGTTCCCCAAACCGGCAATTCCCCTCAAAATTATCGACAACGGGTGCGCGAACGGGTCCGTGAAACACCTCTGGTCGACACCCTCTTGCGAGGCCCAAGTGCGATGCCTGCTTGCTACACCGCGGTGAGTACTGGGCTCTGACAAGACACGCGTCTACGTCCCCAAACGGGGTTTCTACTGCAGAGATCCCAACAATCTGGGCGCAACAGCGCCCGTGAAGCAACCATGGTCGCCCCCCCCCCCCCCGGCGAAAACCAAGTGCAATGCCTGCTACATCATGGTGTGAGCAAATAGGAGCGAGTCTGCAGTGTGGGCTTGAGCGGGATGCCTGCTACATCGCGGTGTGTCTGAGTGCGAGTGGGTATGAGTATGAGTGTATCTGCTTGAAATGTGAATGCGGATCTGAGTGCGAGTGAGCCTGACAATGGGTGAGTCGGACTACGAGTGCGCTCAGTATGGGTGAGGCTGGATGTGAGCGAGTCAGGTGATGAATGATGCTGCGCGCTTGTGAGTCTGAGTATGAGGGAACTGACGGGTGTGGGCAACTCTGGTATTGTGTAACTGGTCAGAGTAGCCTGGGTGCGGGTGGTGATGGAAGGGAGGAGGCGGGAGAAGGAAAGCGAGATGGAGGTGCCCCGCTGATAGGAAGTACCCCTATTTTCAAGTGAAAATAACACGTCACTGCGCTGTAGGCCAGGGCATCCGACTCATCATTCCTGTAACTTCTGGGTGTGGCTCTCTCCTCGTGCAGCCGCTGCTCGCGGGCGGCCCCCTCTACGCGGTGGGGGGCGGCGCTCGATGAGGAGTCATCGCGTATGTACAGAATAATCCAGGGGTTCGCACACAATGGATGTCCTGCTGCGGGGGAACTCGCAGGCCATCCACCCAGCCTAGACCGGGCTTCTTTCGAGCAAGGCGTCGCCTGCTGGCTGGCCGCACCATGCGGTGCAGGAGAAACGCACGCGCTTGCATTCCTTGTGGGCAACGCTGCAGATCGTGGTGCCTGCCACGATGCCCCCCCCTGCAGTAGCGCCCGCCTGAAAGGCGGCGCGCTTTGCCAGAGAAAGGGCTGCGTCAGGGCCTACGCCTCCGGAAGGAACACCTTGTCCAGCGCCCTGCCAGGAAACTGGCACCACACATGGCTGGATCCACATGTGGAACACGCGGGGCCCACCTGCTGGATACGCATGCTGAGGATACTCATACGGAGGATCACCGTGCATGGCCACAAGAGGGCCGAGCGCTGGAAGGACTTGTGGTCACGTGTGTCTCCAGCTCCCGCCCCGGCCAGGCGCGTCCTGTGAGTATTCAACTTCCCTGCAGCACTGCCCTCTCTTCCTTATCACAGTGTTCCGCTTCGCTCTCGACCTCCTCCCGTTCTCCGCAGCCGCCGCACCCTCGTCGAATCGAGCACGCCAATCTCTGCACGACCGAGGACAAAAGACAACCGTGGCCAAGACAGCCGAGGCCAAAACAGCCGAGGTCGAGGCAACCATGGCGGTACACCATACGTCCTCCACCCTGTGCGACCCCACTCGCCATGCATAGAAGAAGAAACAACCGACATACACATGCGTTTCCCACGGAAGCCTTAAGCGTTTGTTCCCGACGGCGCGTGATCGCCTAATTCGTCGACAACTGCCGTTTCTGGATTCCAAAAACAGTGCAACCGTGTTCCATGTAATCACGTTCTTTCATGTTGTGTTCTATTATGTCTTGTTCTGTTCTCGACAAACCGGCATGACGTCGTGACGACTGCCGTTAGATGCATCATTTGTTATGATGTTCCTCTTCACTTATGTTTATCTTATGATTGAAAATGGTATGCTATGCTCATCGCTGTCACCGACTTATGTGAATATGTTATGGTATGCTCTAGTCTCACCATGGTGTGCTATAGTCTCAAGCTTGAACATACCATACTATACTGTCTGTGAATGTATGGCATGGTATGTTACGTCAAATTGTGTTATCATATGCTTTATTCCGTGATGCTGTTGACAGCCCGGTTCAATATACTATATTGCTATCTGCTTTGCTAGTATGGTTCGCCGTGCTTTGCTGTCGTGTTATGATATGTTCGGCGATGCTGTCATGATGTGGTCTGATATGTTCTGTCATGGTGTGCTACCATATGATTGGAGATGTTCGGTGATGTTGTGTTATGTCGTCTTCTGCTATGTTATGTTCTGCTCTGGCATGTTATGTGATGTTATGCCTGTTGACGGTTCGGCTCTGTATAATATGTAAATAATGACCTGCTCTGCTAGTATGGGTCGCTATGCTCTGCTGTCGTGCTATGATATGTTCTGTGATGCTGTCTCATGGGATGATATGTCATGTCAAGTGTGTTATGCTATGATCGGTTATGTTGGGTGATGTCGTCTTATGTCTTTTTTTGTCACGAGGGCCAAAGTGTCTAAATCCCTGATTGTCTGAAGCCCACCTCGCAGGGCAGGCGCTGGCTGGGGCGCTGGCTGAAAGCCCGTCACCATTCTTCGCTCTGGAATGCGGACGACTTGAACGGCAAGTCAGACAACCGCAGAAAAGGAGGCGCCCGGCCGGGCGCCCGGAGGGGCCGTCTACTTACTGATGTACTCCTTCGCCCCATAGTTGTACTGCTCCTGATTGGTCTCCACCTCCATGCCCACGAACTTGCCGGTCACGATCGGCTTGGCGTCCGGGTTGGTGGTGGTGCCGTAGGGCGTGTTGTACTTGAGCGCGGCGTTCTTCAGCACGGCGCCGTAGAAGACGATGGCGAACGCGCACAGTGCCCAGTACAGCGGGCTGATGCCGTAGAAGACGTCGAAGTACTCCTTGCCGTTGTACGTGAACGCGTGGGCCGCCTCGGGCGTGGCAGCGGCGAGCGCGCCGGCAGCCGCCAATGCGTCGCCGCGCAGGGCGGGGCCCCGCGGGGCGGGCACGAAGGCGCGGGCGCCCTGGCGGGCGGCGCAGGCGCAGGCCGCGAGCACGCAGGCCGTGGCGAGGGCGGAGCGGGCCATCTCTTCCGCGGGGCGCGGGGGCAAGCGGGGCGCGCGGGCAAGCGGGGCGTGGGCCAGCAGGGCTCGGGCCGAGATTGCTTGAGCCAAAATGGCTACGGAGGTTATGTCGTCTTCTGTTATGTCATGTTCTGCCCTGGTATGCTATGTGGTGTTCTGGTATGCCCTATTTTGTCATGGCACTGCTATGTTCTGTTCTGTCATATTCTGTCATGCTTGTGTTCTGTTATGCCATGTTATGTTGTGTCATGTTGTGTTCTGTCGTGTCCGACGTCGCTATGCTCTGCTGTCGTTCTATGGTCTGTTCTGTGATGCTGCGTCATGATATGATATGTTCTGTCAAAGTACTGTTCTGTCATGCTGTGTTATGGCGTCTTCTGACATTTCAGGTTCTGCTCTGGTGCGGTCTGTGCTGTTATGTTTAGTTACGGCCCGGCTCTGTATGGTAAATTATGAGATGCGCTGCCAATATGTGTCGCTATGCTTTGCTGTCGTGTTCTGCTATGTTCTGTGATGCTGTGTTGTGATATAAAAAGTTCAGTCAAAGCGTGTCAAATGGTGCTCGGTTATGTTATGTTGTGTTGTGTCATGCCGTCTTATGTTATGCCATGTTTTGATATGGTACGTCCTGTGATGCAATGTTCTGCCCTATCTTGTCGTGACATTGCTATGCTATGTTCTGTCATGTTCTGTCATGCTTTTTGCTATGTTAATGGTCTGTTGTGTCATGTTGTGTAATGTCGTGTTCGTCATCGCTATGCTTTGCTGTGGTGTTATGGTATGTGCTGTGATGCTGTGCCATGATATGATATATTCTGTCAATGTGTGGTATGTTATGCTCAATTCTGTTATGTTCTATCGTGTTCATCGGGGCGCGAAGCGGGATCATCGGGACAACTTGGGGTCTGGCGGCCGCGGTGTTTAGGGTGGGGTTAGCTGGGCGAGAGTCAGGACACCCGGGATACTCGGGACAATTTGGGGTCCGGCAACCGCGGTATGCAGTGCGGGGCTGGCCGGGCGCGAGGTGGGACACCCAGGATACTTGGGATTCTCGGAACAGCTTGGGGTCTGGCGGCCTCGGTATGCAAGGTGGGATTGGCCGGGGGGGCCTGTTCTTGAAATCTAACAACCCCAAACTGTCGGGTGGGGGAACTTTTGGCGCTCCGCGCGGACGCCTTGGATCCGCGCTGGATCCCCCTCCCTGGCGCGCGGAGCGCGCCAGGGGCGGCGCCGGAGGCGCCGCCAGGGGTTCCCCAGCGCGGATTCAAGAAATCCGCGCGGAGCGCCAAACAATTTTTCTTCTTCGAATTTCGTGAACTTCTCAATTTCGATGCTTCAGCTTAAGTTGCTCCCATCTTACTTAAAGACCACATCCCAGAAATCATTTCGAGCATCCAGATAAGTACCGAAACAGTGTCGAACGAGTACCGCCTCCCAGGGCCCGACACGTGAAAACCCCCCAGTTTCGACACCTCCTTGGTGCAGAGCCAGAAGCAGCTTGGAACATCATAGGCTTCAGCCTCTCTCCGGAGCACACCTGCCCAGCCGTCGGCACGGAGCTTCCCCCGCCTCGCCTCGCCCGACATCTGCTCGGCTGGGTGGCCCCCCCCGCCACTTCGGCGCGCCCGGCCGCGACTCGAAGGGGATGCTTCCGGCGATGCGTCGCCCGAAGCGACACGCATACAGCTGGACCTAGGACAGAAGAACATCCTTCAAGAGCATGAGACCCTAGGCCGGCCAACATGAAGAGAATTCGAGGGTACCCTCCCCCAGGATGCAGAAGAACATCCAACACACACACACACACACACGAAGAACAGTGGGGCACGCTCCCCGAACCGACCTCGATCTTAGACCTCGGTCCGACTGCACAATCATCTTGACATGCGCACTCGCGGCAACATTTGCCACGATTCTCCTGCGCAACTTTTTTTGGCACTCAGCTGCAGGTGGGACATCAATGGATGGTACGTCATGCGATTTAAGCATTTCCAATCCCTGTGGAGAGGTGGCATCCAGGAGTCCCAACACAGCTGTGCAGACGAATTCAACCACTATGTGGTGCTTCCGTGGCAAAAAATTACAAAGTCGAACAACGATGGAAGAACAGCGCGAGAACGATGCCCCTTCCAGATTGGATTGGACACGGTCGCACTTTGCAAATCAATGGCGCAACAAATTTAAACGAAAAGAATTCTCGTGCACATGCGCTCATGCACTGTCTCCGATTCCATCGCGTCGAGCAACGGGGGGGCGATGGCATGGCTTCCTACCTAACTAGTCTACACACTGGCTGGACCTGACCCAGCGATCTGCAATTTCAAAGCGGGACAACCCGCAGCCTAGCTTGGCGGCGCACCAAGGAGGGACAGGGCGCGGAGGGGGCGGGCTTTCAAGAAGGGACGGGGATGCGGGAGGCTTCTGCAAAGGGACCAGAGGCACCTTCCAGGACTTACCAGACGCCTGTGAACGCAGGATGCAATTTCTCAGAAGCCTTCTGCCTTCTTGAAAGGCCGCCCCCCCCTCCCACGCATCCGACGCCATCCTCGTCGGTCCGCGGCACCAGAGGTCTGCACCCCCTTTCTGGGGATTTCGCTCGTACCGCATCGAACTTGATGGCCCCCGGGCCCGGGAACGGCGTCTAGACGCAGAAATCATGAGAAGCCCGCCAGGGTTGAACAACAGTCCGCTGGATGTCTGGGCTCGCTCAACCCCCTTTCTGCACGCCGCTGGCTACCTACCTATCCACCCGGGTCTTGCCGCGACACGGCTGCCCTCGGGCGGCTTGGGACATCGCCGCTACATCTAACTAAATTGGCAGAGGGGCGCCCTGCCTTGCACGTCTGCCCTCCGGCGGCTCAGGAAAACATCGCTGCCGCCGGCTGTCAGGGCAGAGGAGAGGAACTCCATGTCTTTGGCTCCTCGTTGCCCGTCGTCGTATTCAACAGAACGGGCGTATGTGCCCTTCGCGCCTGGCACAGGGCGTCCTGCTGTGGAGCCAGGCGACCCAGGCGTGCAACGATTGAGCCGCGCTTCAAATTTGAAAAGGACTACGCCACTGACGCTTCACACCCACGCTTGATACGCTGTTCTGAGGGTTGCATCAAACTTCCTCCTCGTCCTCCCTCCGCCTCCCATGCCTGATTCTGGAAGCTACGCTGAGTTCGCGCCACGCTTATTGTGATGCTGCCAGTTTGGGCTGCGACGGGTACCACCCCCGTCGGGTGATCCGCTGCCTGAGGACTACCAGCTGCAATTGATTAACATAATCAAGGACATGGACAACAACCCAGTGGGGGTCGACGAGTTCCACTCCATCCTGCTCCCATTGCCCAAGCCCAAGGGCGGCGTGCAACCTATCGGTCTGCTCTGCCTCGTGACCCAGGTGTGGGCGGTACCCTGTGATCGCTCCACGTGTGTGCACAGCTTGCACTCGGCATCTGGCAAGGAGGTCGGGTTCGAGTGCCAGACGGTGCTGCCTGACCTCTCCGAGCTCTAGGAGCAGGTGACCTGGTCGTTCCCGTCGGTCTGCTACCCTGGAGTCCAGGCTTCCCCGAATCTACTCAAAGCGCCTAGCATCATGTACGGCGGGCCACGCCGAGTTCTCCACGGGCGGGCGAACCCCACCACGAGTCTCACCAACAGCCATCATAGCTGGTTGTTCGGCGGCAACCATCCTGGCTAATCTTGTGTTTATGTTTGTTCTTTGTCCGGTTTTGACTATTCTTCTGCGCGTCTCTCGCGCAGGTCGCCTCGGCCTGCAGAACTGAAACGCCGTTGCCGACGTGGTGCTGCAAGGAATTGGGCGCCAAACTGTGATGGCAACCAACGTCGATGCGGTGGGGTCTTTCCTACAATCATTCCGGGAGTTGCATCTCCAGATGAACGTGGGCAAGAGCAAGTTCCTGGCCAGCACCGCGGAGCTGGCAGATTAACCCACTCAGACGTGGAGCCTCCCTCCCACAGCAGGGGTCGATGCGTTGCGGAAGCCAGTGTGGGGTCTCTCTGCCGCGTATTCACGGCTCGCCTCAGAGACACGGCAGCTCGCCGGCGCGGTCGACGGTGCGCGCTCCTCCTACAGGCGGGGGCCGACGTAGCCATGGTCCACACGGTTGGGGTGACCTTGACGGGGACCATGGGGGAGCGCAGTGATAGGACTCACAGCCAGGCAACTCATTACACGGTCTGTGGGTGAGCGTAGTTAGTAGCAGCATGGGCAGGCTGTCGCGCAGAGCCAGCGTCTACCTTTGCCTCCACCAGTGCAGTAATTGGGCCCGCCTCGGCCCCATGGTTCTCCACGCGTGTGATGTGCTAAGTCTGTGGTGCGAGGGTGTGTGGGCTGGCAGTGCCAACCCGCGCACATTGGAAGCCACGCTGGCCGCAACCTGCAGGAAAGCTGTCGTGTCCGGAAGACCATGGCGGACACCCAACTCCCCTGTTGCTGTATCCTCCGACCCTTTGGGTCTCATCGGCGTGTGAGATGTTCCCCCCTCCCCAAACCCCTCCTCCGGGAGCCCAGTCCGGTTGATTTGGAAGGGGGGGGTCCTCTGGGGACCAGTGGAACGCGTCACGGGAGGGCAGAGGGCTTCAAAACAGGCCAAGAGGGCGCCAAGAAGCCCTCTGAATGATCCAAGAAGGCCACGAGCCGCCGAAATATCAATCGAAAACGCCTACGCTGGCCCCCCACAGACCAAGAGGCCCCAAAGACGCTCCAAGAAGCCCTCAAGAGGCGTCCCAGGCCGGCCTCAAAGAGCAAACAACCATCGCCCCATTTCCAGGTGAAAACTTGCAATTTTAGTACATTCGCCTCTTCTGCGATCACAACGTCCAAGACAGCCCAAGAAGCCTCCTGGGTCGCCCCAAGACTGCCGACGAGGCCCCCAAGGAGGCTCTCAGACGACCGAAGAGGGCCCCAAGACCGCTCAAAAAGCCATAGAAAACATGCCAAGAGGGTACCAAGAAGCCCTCTGGACGGTGCAAGAGGGCCACGAGCCGCCGAAATATCAATCGAAAACGCCCGCGCTGGCCCCCCGACGGCCCAAGAGGCCCCAAAAACGCTCCAAGAAGCCCTCAAGAGGCGCCCCAAGACTGACCCAAGAAGGCCCCAAGACCGGTCAATAAATTCAGAGCAACAAACCAAGAAGGCACAAAGAGGCCCTCTGAACGATCCAAGAGGGCCACGTGCCACCGGTTGCCAGACGTTCTCCTACGTTCAAAGGTGTCCAACGCTTTTGGAAAATGACAGAAGTTCGAGGCGGATGAGCAGGAGGTGGCGGTATCAGAGTGATGGGTATGTTGGCGTTTCAGGGTGCTCTGGAGGGTCCTAGATATGAAGAGGAGAAGATCAATGGGGGAGAGGGTTCCTACAGTTTTTGGGGGGTGCTGCAGGTTTTGAGGAGGAGGGATGAGGATAATGACGAGGGTCATACTCCCTCCTAGATGCGCCTCCTCCCCCTTCCTCCCCCCTCCTCCTCCTCCTCCTCCTCCTCCTGCTTCTCCTCCCTTCTTTTCCTCCCTCCATCTCTTCCTCCTCACTCCCCCTCTTTCCTCTCCTGCGCGCTTCATTCTTTTAACGTAGCTCCTCTGGGTCGCACCACCAGGCGTAGCGGTAGGGCGGGTGGGGCAGTTCGTCTGGGACTTTCTCACCGCTTGCGATCCTGAAGCTGGATGCTCCCAGGAAGTACGTACACTGGTGGAGGGCAGAGTGCCAAACATTTGCTCTCGCCTTGGCGCCGAGTGCATTCCTCTTTGCTTAAAAATGCAGCGGTTACGCAGATGAAGGGCGGCTACTTGTCAAACTTCGCCTCCCCCTTGAAATTTCTCCACTCTGCATGGCCAGAAGTGTAAGCTATGCAACAGTTATGCGGACCAAGTGCGGCTCATCAAAGCGATGTGGGTCCTCGCTGGAAACTTCTGCAACTTGGGCGACCATACATGTAAGCTCGAAGATCACAAGCGAGGATCGCGAGTGGCTCCTTTTCAAACAAGGCTTCTTGCTGAATACTTCCTTGCGCATTACTGTCCTAAGGTTTGCGCTTCTTACTGCTCGAAGGATGTCAAACAAATATCTTTCCAAACGGGGCGCTCCCGCCGGAACGGCAGCCCATGGGGTGCTCGTCTTCCAAGGAAGTACTTCCCAGAGTGACGAGGAATGCTTGCAGGAGGAGGAGGAGGAGGAGGAGGAGGAGGAGGAGGAGGAGGAGGAGGAGGAGTGGAGGAGGGCGAGGAGGAGGCGGAGGAGGAGGAGGGGAGGAGGAGGAGGGGAGGAGGAGGGAGGAGGAGGAGAGGAGGAGCAGGAGGGAGGGAGGAGGAGGAGGAGGAGGAGGAGGAGGGGAGGAGGAGAGGCGGAGGAGGAGGAGGGAGAGGAGGAGGAGAGGGGAGGGGTTTTCAGCACCGCGCGCCCTAGGGAAAGGGCGTCAGGGGGGAAGAGAGGAAAATTGGGGTGGGGCGCCCATCAGACGAGAAACTTTTTGTTCCCGCCCGAGGCTGGGGAGGAGGATGAGGAGGGAGGATGGGAGGAGAGAAGGAGGAAGGGAGGGAGGAGGAGGAGGAGGAGGAGGAGGAGGAGGAGGATGAGGAGGAGGAGGAATGAGGATGAGGAGATGGGAGGAGAGGAGGAGGAGGAGGAGAGGGAAGGAGGAGGAGGAGGAGGAGGAGGAGCAGGAGGGAGGAGGAGGAGGAGAGGGAGGAGGAGGAGGAGGAGGAGGAGGAGGGACGGTTACGAGACGCACAGGACTTACGCGACCTGGACGCCGCAGCACCGCTGACGCGCCCTAGGTCCTGGGCTTACGCTGGTCCTCCTCCTCCCTTTCCTTTGCTTCTGTCTCCTCCTCCCCCTCCCCCTCGCTTTCCGCCAACGCTCCCCCGCGCGCACTCGCGCTGAGCTGTGCCGCTCCCGGACCCTCCGGATCGATCGGAGCCGTCGCGTTTCGTGCCGCCGAGGGGGATCCGAACTGGTGCAGGCCCAGGGCCCCCCCGGCCTCAGCTCGGGCCTCCGCCATAGCGGCGCACAGCCCCTGCCGTGGACGGAAAACTTCAATTCTTGGGCTCTGCGATGGGACGCTCAGCACTCACAGGGAGTGTCCATCGGATGGCACTTGGGGCTTCTGCAATCGCTGCATCATGTTCAGTGCTTGATTTTGAGCCGCCAATCTGCAAGTTCTCCGCGCCGCAGGAATTTGTCAGAAGGCCCCCCGAAGGAGCAATCAGACATACCGGCAAGCTGCTGCTCAGAAGGAACGCTAGGTAAGGGACGAGACCTTCTTGGGGTCTCAGAAGCGCCCCGGTGCACGAGGAGCGCTAGAGGAACAACCATGGAACGGCCCTGAGGAACAGCAAGCCCATTCCGAAACCGAACCGTTCCTTGTTCTGGCGCCTTTGCTACACAAGAACACATGCATGACAGAAGGATAAAACGCTCTTGGGAAAAGATGGCGATGAACGATGCGTGCGCGGACTTCTAACGCGTGGGTGCTTTCGCGAACCAGGGCCCTACGCTCTGGTGTTGACCGAAACGTTCCTGGACCAAGGCGTCCCAAGCTCGCGGGCCATCTCAAAACCCTCGGACCCAGACCCTCAATGTCTTGAAGAAATCGGGCTGGACGTTTGTTCGTCATAAGGTGTCTGGAGGCCCTTTTCGAGCCCTGGGGCCGTCAGCAACGATCTAGGACGAAACGCCTCTCCCCCGCCGCCCAAGGAAGTCGAGGGCTCCAAGGCCCGCGCAGTGCAACAATCAAGACATCGGAGGTATGGGAAGGTCCCTTGCTGGGCTGCACCCGGGGCCGTTTGGGCCCACCAGGGCCTCTCTTGAGAAGCGGGGATTCATCCAAATCAATCAACCGCATGGGAACCGACGTCATGGTGCGACGGCGGGCGGTGGATGGATGTACATATAGATGTATATGCATATATACATATATATACATATATATATACACAGATTGCCCCCCCCCCCCCCCGAGGCCCGAATATATCCATACCCACCGATTTGGATGTATTTTGGGCCCCCAGGGGCCCGAATGTATCCATATACCCACCGCCCGTGGAGGCCCGCAACAAAAATGGATCCCCCAGGCGGTGGCTCTGGACAGATCCCCGCCTCGGATCACTGGCAGCCCGGATGGCACCTTGGGCCAAGACCGCTCTTCTACACAGGAGGCGTCCAAGAGGGGGGTGTCTAAGAGGAGGGGTGCAAGTCATGGCCCGAGGCATGTGCGCGGACCAGGGGGGGCCAGGGAACGTGTTGAAATAAGACGAGGGGCCATGAAATCTGGGGAGATATCATTGCCCCCACCATGATACCCCCCCCCCTGGTCATCACCCCCCTCTTGGCCGCCCCCGACTACAGAAGGCCCGATCCAGAAACCTGCCTCGCGCGGCGGAGCGCGAACGGCCAGCGCGGGCTCAGTACCCGGAGGCCTCGGCCCAGTCGAGCACCTCGGGCTCGTCCTCGCAGCCGAGGCCCTCGGGAACGTGCTCGAAGACCTCGTGATTGCGGATGCCATGACATTGGACACCCTAACAATCCGATCATTGAAGTAAACATGTGTTTCAGGTGTCGGAGAATGTTCTAAACATGCGCAAATCATGTTTTTGACAGGTTAAAGACACATCTTTAACATGGTTTAGACATCCGCAATTGATTTGGCAACATTTCGGCTCCATTGATCGTCGTCCACAACCTCTTGAGCGCAAGAGCTTCACGAGATCGGACCCCACGGGAATCGGGAATCGTGCTCGCGACACAACGCGGGTGAGAGGGGATCCAGGGCAAGGAGGCAAAGGTCCTCGGATGCCCACGTCAGAGAGGCAGCAGCACTGGGCAACACATAACTAGAGATAGGTCGGACATGTCCTCCTACAGGGGGATTGTGGACGAAATATAAAAGATAGCAAACACATACTCCAACATGGTTCAAATATGATCGAAACATCGTATCAATACTAATTTTTGTTGTTGTTGTTGCCAATTTTTGAATATTCCTCCTGTAGAAGGACATGCCTGATTTAAAACTAGGGAGCCATATGCCGAACAAACAGAGATGTAAGGGCAACGTTGGTGAGACACCGCATTCTTACCGCTGAACCGGGCTGTACATGTTCGATCGGAGCATTATCCAATGAGACTTCGATTCCGCAAGGGTCCCGGATTCATGACCTTCTCTTCAGGCGCCTTGAAGTCCTCGTCCGCGTCGCCCATCCTTAAGGAGGAGAGGGAGGAAGAGGAGGAAAAGGAAAATGGAGGGAGGGGCATGACTCGACTGCGACTGCGATCCGCGTCGCTCACCTTGCAGGTGCTGCGGCTGCAGTTTGGGCCCGAGGCGCCAACAATACCCTCAAATCGTTTGCAGCAACTTGGCGAGTGGTCTTGTTCCGCCATGCTTGCTTCTGGAAGCCG